AGGCCAATGGGGGCTGCGGGAAGCGGCGGCCAGCACATCTCTTGGCCCACGCCGCTTCCTGCAGCCCCCATTGGCCTGGAACGGTGAACCGTGGCCAGCGGGAGCTGCGATCGGCCGAACCTGTGGACGCTGCAGGTAAACCAGCCAGGCCCACCAACAGATTTCCCTGACGGGCTGCATGCCAAAAGTTGCCGATCCCTGCTCTACGCCTTTGCACTAGGAAAATCTTCCTGTGGCCAGATAAACCAACAATATGGCCTAAAGTAATCATGTGTCACCAGAGAATCTAGATAAATATCTCTAAACGTACAGCACATGATTATACAAACTTGTGCAATCTTCTCCCCTGGGTAACTTGTGAACTTACAGTTAGAAGTCTTAATGTGTATAAATATATATATTTTTAAAAGCATTATAGCCTTAATTTAAGTAATTCTTCCAAAACACTCCTTATATCTCAAAGATTTAACAGCATGCTATAATGAGATCTTATAACACTTTATTACATTTATAAAAAAATTACAGTATATACTGATTTTTTTAAACAGCTTGTTTTGATAGTTACTTTAACAAAGTATATTTTGCAGTATGCTTAACTTTTCAGAACGTGTACATTTCCTGTCATCACTGCAAATTGGTCCAAGTTTGGTTGCATACTAGTTTTTCAGGAGCTTAAAACTTGAAAATGAAAGTGAAAACTGCAAAGCTAAATTTTGAACATTTCAATTTTTCTTCTGTTTCTAGGTAAAAAAGCAGTGGCAGACAGTAAGTATTTGTGTTTATACAGCAGAGTATTCTATAGTTTATTTTAACCATGAATAAGATTTAAAGCAAATAGACCAACATATTAATTTTAATTTAGTTTGTTTTTATATTATGGATATTGCAAAGTAGACCTTAAAGGGAACCTTCAGTTTTTGTTATATTTCTCTCTATTACTCTGATATGGTTGTCAGAGTGTTTACAACCCTGGTAACGTAGCTGTACATCTGTAAAATGCTCCACTTTCCATTGATACTTTTTCCTTTGTGTAATAAACTAAGTTAATCTCTGCCACAGAACAGTAGTGGTAGTTCAGGAGAGTAACTTTTTAAAAAAGAATTCTAAAATATATATTCAATGGGCTTAACCATTTTATAGAGGGTTTTTTTTAATCTAACCTGGTAGACCTTAATTTTAACTAGGTTACCATTTTTAGCTATCAACAAACTAGTTCATTTTAACATTATTTTTTGTAAAAGTTTAATATGCAATCCTTAAGATTTTTAAGTATATCATTGCTTGTGACTATTTTAAAGTCATAATTTTCTTATTACTCCTCCACTAATGCAATTGTCTTATTTCAATCCTGACTGCAAAGATAGACAATTCACTTGCTCCAAATTGAGTCAATTTTGTACATAAAGACATGTCATCTAACCTTACAGGTAAAATTAAAATACCTCCCATTGCACTGTACCGCAATAACTATTTACCCCACATAAATATATCCTGACTTTAGAGGTAAGTTTTTTTTTTTTTTTTTTTTCCCCCTGTGAAATCATATTTAACCAATAATATTGATAATGTAAATGTTAAAATGTTAGGCTACACTTGTAGATATATGAAGAATTTTCAAATACTTTGATGTACTGATTCATCTAATTTTTGGATATTCATAGCTTTGGATACTTAACTGTATCTGTCCTGAATTATAGACTTATATTACTTTAATTTTTGAACAATCTAAATTGTGTTTGTTTCAGAATCCTCTCCTCCTGGCCATCATTAAATGGCTCTTCGTTGAGTATGCATTCCATGACTTGTCATCTCTGCTATAAATGAAGCAAGCTACCATCATAGGGAAGTTAATTGGACCGCATAAGCATTGTACAGTCCTACAACTGTATATAATCCACTGTACTTCATAGGAGGAATAAATGTGTTGAGCAAGAAGTATTCTGGAGTGTGTATTTTAATACTCTAATTTAAATTTAAGAACATTGTCAACATCTTTTTGCTCTGTACAGTTTCATAAGAACTTTCATGTTACCACAAACTGTATCAAAGGAGCACATTGAAGTAAATAATACGTTGCTAAACTAAATATATCATAGTAGAACAGGTCGGAACTTAAAAACAAACATTTTGGTTGAATTTTTGACTTAAAAACAAAAAATTGTCAAAGTATCTCATGTATTCAACATTTTCCATGTGTGAATTTTTATTGCTACTGTGCAATCTCTGATTGATCAGCTTAGTTGTATGGTGGGATTTTTTTCAAAGTTAGGATGCAACTTTTTAAAAAAAAAAAAAATTAAAAAGTTTTTTGATAATTCTGCAGAAAAATTAGACAGCAAAAGCAGTACTGTTACAAAAATGTTGCAGAAAATGCCTCTGAAATTTCTGCATAATTTCCACCCTTTTTTTTTTTTTTTTTTTTTTACAAGGTAAATCAGAAGTTAACTCGTAGCAACACAGGTCTGTTCAGAATAGAGAACATTTAATAGAACTGGTGAATTATCGCAGTTCAGATGTTTATCCCCTTTGCTACAGGAGCAATTGCAAGATGCTACACTGAACAGGCTTATAAAATTAATATTGTTTCCATTAGAGAATAGTACTTAATGTTATATCAAATAAGAAAATCTTTTTTTTTTTTTTTTTCAAGGTGTACCCTGCATTATTCTTAGGGTATGTCTACACCCAGCCGCTAGTTTGGCGGCTGGGAATCGAAGTTCTGGGTTCGACTTATCGCGTCTTGTCTGGACGCGATAAGTCGAACCAGGAAGTGCTCGCCATCGACTGCAGTACTCCAGCTAGACGAGAGGAGTACTGCGGAGTCGACGGGGGAGCCTGCCTGCCGCATGTGGACCGAGGTAAGTTCGAACTATAGGATACCGAACTTCAGCTATACGTTATTCACGTAGCTGAAGTTGCGTACCTTAGTTCGAATTGGGGGGTAAGTGTAGACCAAGCCTCAGTTGTAGGCATTATAGGAGTTGAAAATTTCTAGAAAAGTGGTGCCCAGTAGGTGCCACAGGGGTTTCATCTCGCAGCACTGAGCATTTGGAACATGTTAGATAAGGGAGGTGTAGCCCCTGACTGCTCCTGTTCTTTTTGCTGAACCTCAGAGTCTGAGGGGGTGACTTTCAAAGGAACAGAGAGCAACTAGGTACCTATCTCCCATTGGTAATTGATGCAAACTGAGCACCCAACTGCCAGTGTCAAATTTATGCATTGCTCAGCTTTGTATTCATTGTATCTGCAAACAAGGTGATATATTTTATTTGGATACAAACTTGATTATTTACAAGCATTGTAGATGCAATATGCATTTAACTGACTTCTAACATTTTCCCCTCTTCCAGCAAAATTATGTTTGTTAAAAGTAGCCATCTGTTATACATATTACATGGGATGGAACACTAGTAGCATTTGAGGGCAATCCACTATCTTGGTGACTGACTTACTCAAAGTAAAAAGTAATATATTTTATTTGAATAAAAGCTTGGCTGTATTAGAGGAGGCTGTCAGGACCTAAATTATCCAGTGACTTTCTGAAAAGATATATACTCCGCACAATACACATCAAATATTAAATCTGTGGCATTACTGGTACTGCAACTTACAAGCAACATTTCAATCTCTTACATGTAGTGTTCTGTTTAAGCACTGGAAGTCGGCATTAATGATCTAATAAAAGGCTTAAGTCCTTATATGTCATGAGTATGTTCTGATTGTGTTTCAGCAGGTTCAAGGTATTTCAGTGGACTTAAACAGAATGCTGCTTTTTCATTTGTAAAAAGCAACAGAGTCCTGTGGCACCTTAAGCCTAACAGATGTATTGGAGCATAAGCTTTCGTGGGTGAATGCCCACTTCGTCGGATGCATCGTGAATGGGCATTCACCCACGAAAGCTTATGCTCCAATACATCTGTTAGTCTTAAAGGTGCCACAGGACTCTCTGTTGCTTTTTACAGTTCCAGACTAACACAGCTACCCCTCTGATACTTTTTCATTTGCTTTGCTCTGCCTATACTACCCATAATAATTTTGAGTAATGTAATCTTTTTAAAATGTATATGGGTTGGGTAAGTGGTGCTGTAACTGTCTCCCTTTAGTAACTGGCCCCAGCAACTGCAACAGCTTATTACCTATTCACAGTTAAAGGAGTTTTTCATTTATTCAAAAATCTTCTTAATATTGAAAGTTCCATGTTCATTTCCCTCTGATAACCATGACATCTCCATATGAGATACATATTTGCTGTGATAACTTTGTATTTGAATAATCAGGGCTTGATAAATTCACTCACTTAGAATCTTAGAATATCAGGGTGGAAGGGACCTCAAGAGGTCATCTAGTCCAACACCCTGCTCAAAGCATGACCAATTCCCAACTAAGGCACATGAGAAACTTTGCCTGGAAAGTGTGGTAACCTAAACAATCCATTTCTGTAGAATTTAAAGTTGTTTTTTCTTCTACAAACAAAAACCCTACAGCCTTAGCCCTCCTGATTGTAAAGATAACCTTCCAAAAGTGAAAGGAATGTAAGTCAATTTGGCGTCATAGTCAGGGCCGGCTCCAGGCACCAGCTTACCAAGCAGGTGCTTGGGGCGGCCACTTCGGAGAGGGGCGGCACGTCCAGCTGTTCGGCAGCAATTCGGCGGTGGTCCACATGCGTCTGAGGAAGTGGGTATTCACCCACGAAAGCTTATGCTCCAATACGTCTGTTAGTCTATAAGGTGCCACAGGACTCTTTGTTGCTTGTTTATATATTTTACGCCATTATAAATACTGGAGGCAAAGCAGGGTTTAGGCTGGAGGCTGACAGCTCGCGACCCCCTGAGGGGTCCCAACCCCCGGTTTGAGAACCCCTGATATATACAAACAATAGATTTCCAAAGGGGTCCACACCTTCATTCAAAAATTTTTAGGGGCATGCAAATGAAAAAAGGTTGGGAACCAATGGTATAGGGCATGAAAATAGAGTAGGTGAATAGTTAGAGCAGTGGATATCTTTCTTCTTTGCTCCTCCTGGCATTTCTTCCTCCCACTCCAGCTCCCCTTCTGACTGCTTCCCCCATCCCCTGTGGTATGTTTGACAGGGACATGGGGAAGAGGGGAGCTGGTAGCTGAAGGTCTGCTGCAAGTGGAATGGGGGCAGGGACCTGAGTTCCTGAGATTCTTGCACTTCTCAGCTCCTAGAGATTCTAGGTTTCTTACCTGTGCTCCTTTCAGCAGCCAAAAACCTTTAGCAAGGAGGAAAAGGGAAAGTAGATGGAGGAAAATGGAAATTGAAGTGATCACTAGTCGGAGGTTGATTATGGGGCACCGTGCTAGCTGCACCATGGTTAAACATCAGTTTCTGTTTGGCCTAAAAACCCGTATGCCGGCAGAGGGTTTGTAGTAGACTTTGTGGTGCAAATGTGGCTAAAGGGCTCATGAGAAAGGTGCCTCACATGCACAAATGATTTGCTTGTAAACCTTTCAGGTTCTTGTTTTTGCTTAGAGCTGGAGAAAATACAGGTAGCAGCCTAAAACATACATTAGTGGATTTCCTCAATCATAGTTGCTTTCCAACACCAAGAGCCAGTTTCAAAACCCAATAATAGGTAAAGGATGCTGTTCCCTACATGGAAGGTAGCCACATTGGGTAGACTCCATTCTTTAGTGAACTACTATTTGCGCTCCTGCCAGAGCTGCAGTTGCCAGATTCCTGCTCTTTTCCTGCCCCATCATCCTACTAGGGAAGATGGAGGGAGTTGGTGATGAAGTTGTTTCTGGGGCACAGCAACCAGCTCGGCTTCCCCAGCAGTTGCAGCTGCTGATGAATTTACTGTGCTCTACAATACATCAGGAACCACCTGCTGCTGTCCTAATCCCTCTGGCTCCTCTGACTATCTCAGGGGCCAAGGAGAGGGGGACAGCACCAGCTCAATTGTGGAACACGTCAAGCTCCTACTGATTCTGCAATCTGCCCCTTTATCCTCTTAAATATACCTCTCCCTTGCACATGATTCCAACATGAACACCCATCCACTATCTCTGGAGAGAAGAGCAATGAGGGGAACTGGTACCCCCACTCCTTTTTTTCTTCCTACTGCAGCTGAGTAGGATGCATGAGGAAGAAGCCTTAGTTTTATAGTCCTGCAGCTGTCAGCACTGGGCCTATGCCTGCCCTCAAAACATCTGGAGGTATGGAGGGGAGCTAGTGGAAAGAGCTAAGAACTGCAAGGAAATCAGGCCCACATCCGCCAAGGTACTTCAGCAACTATCTGCCTCTTTAGGTACCAAAGTCCACCATTTAGCTGCCACCTAACACAGTAGCACCTAAGTTTCGGTCAGGTAGCATTTGCAAACCTGCCGAAGTGCTGCCACTAGCCCACAGCTAATGCGCTGCCTGGAGCCATAGCTCAAGCCAAAGTCCTCAAGGCCCTGAAGCAGGATTTTCATACCAGGCAGGGGAGCGGTCTTGTCAGTGCGGCCCAGTCCTGTGGGCATGCTCATGGCACACCCAAGACCTGATACCAGTCAGACTGAAACTGGAGGCAGGCCACCTGTAGGTGAGCAAGCATCTGCAGTAGTACTAGTCAGGAAGTTTTTGTTGAAACTGAGGGAGGAGGGAGGAGATGGTCTTCTGGTGAGTCACCTCAGGCAGAGCAGGGATTTGAACCTGGGTCCCCATATGCTAGCTGCATTTCCTAACTACTATGTTGTTTTAGCTATTGTGGGATGGAACTCTACTGCAGGAGCTGTTCTACTTTGTCCCAATGAATAATTTAGACTGAGAGAAAAACAGATTCTATAGCCCATTGACTGGATCTGAAGGTAGGTTCAGATCCCTGTTCCAAAGCAGCCAGAGCAAGAACTTGAAACTGGGTCTCCCACACTCTGGTTGAGTCTCATAACAAATATTTTGAAAATTCTCATGGGATGGGAAAACTGTTTCCCAC